CCACCAGCACGCTGTCTCCCTGCTCCTCCCGTTCGACCTGGCTGACTGCTCCCACCCTGGCCTCGCTGACGGCGTGCCTCCCGGCCAGCTCGCCCGCTTCCAGTGCTCCAAATGCCCCGCGAGCTTCACTCTGAAATCCAACATGGATCGCCACGAGAAGACCATCCACTTCAACTGTAAGAAGATGCGGTGTCCCACCTGTGCCAAGCTGTTTCGAGACAAGACAGACTTAAACCGGCACCGTTTGTCTGTGCACTCGAGCGAGCGTGCTGTGGTGTGTCTCTTCTGTGGCAAGGGCTTTGGTACCCAGAAGAACCTCACTAGCCACGTCAAAGCGTGTTACCTGGGCGGGTTTGAGCTCGTGGACAGTGTAGGACAAAATGAGGATCCTGAGGATGCGTAGCTGCTGCTGCGTGTATGAGACGCTTCTTTTAAACTAGGAAAAGCAAATTGTTCCGTTCTTCTCTTTTCGTGCTGCAAATAAACATACCAGAGGTGTAATGCAGTGGAGTAACTCGCCAAAGCTGATCAGGTGGATAACGTGCTGGTTCCAGACACGGTGCGGGATCTGTGCAAAGATCACTTTTGTCAGTCCATACAGCAGGCACTGTGGCTGTCCCATTGGTGTGATCATACTGTGTGCGTATACCACCTTCAGCTCTTCTTGTCAGTAGATCTCAAAGTGCTTTATAAAAGAAATGGTGATGTTTTCCTGTGTTCCCTGGGAAAATGACATACCTCGGCTTGTTGAGCGTGTTGGCAATAGAATGTAATAGAATTCAGCCTCCTGAGTTCTGGTCTGGTACTCTGTCCCTGAGACAACTGGGGCATTTCAGGGTGTTCCAGCTTGAGATGAGGAGCTGGGAAAGCACTGGGCTGCTCAGCCCACTCAGCTGTTTATAAAATCTGCCTTTCTGTGTCATTTAAAGGAGAAAAACGTGCTGCTTGTTCATACCTGCAACAGGGTGTAATTATTTGGGCTTGAAAGTTGTCGCAAGGCTTGTATATTTTATTGGTGCTATGTTTGAGTACTTTTAGGACTCTTTAAAATCTGTACTGGAGTATGGCTGTGGTTTTCAGGAATTCTGTAAATGTCCCGGACTCGTTTGTTTTATCTAATGTAATTACGTTAGCCAGACTGAATGTGTGGAGTCGAAACAGAGCAGAGGTGGAAGTCTTACTGTAATTCCTGTTTTATTATATGAAATAGGAATATGAAATCCATTTATTTTTTTAAAAGGTTAAGTATTTGTGTCGGGTTGGGGAGCCGGAGTTTCCCAGCGTGGCTTAGTCCTTACTCTTTGTTTGAGCAAGGTGTGGTCAGTTGAGAATGTGTTCCTATATAATCTCTGTAGTACACCATACTTGAATCATTTTTATAATTTTTTTTTCCCCAAAGTCGCATACATTTTTCTCACTCTTGTTCCCATTAACATCTTTGTCATCGTGGATCACAGCTCTCTGAATGTGTATGGCTTGTAGTCCGTCAGCTTCCCTTGTTACAGCTGTCAGTTTAATTGCCTCTTAAATAACCAGCAAGTGAGGAGGGAGAAAGCTGAGCCAGAAGAGAAAGTTGTGACCAAAATGAGTCTTATCTGGGAGCAGTGTGGTAGGATTTGTGTGAATGGGAAAGGTGAGATGCCAGCAAAAGTAGTTTCAGCAAATTTTAAAAGGCTTCGTTCATGTGGTAGTAGTTAATGAGGTTTCATATTTGTTCAATTTTCTCATACTGGGGAATTTAATTCAACATGGAACTCTTTTTTTTTCTCTAGGCAGTCAGCTCATTCTCCAATGGAGATGTAAGTGGTGTTTTCCTTGGCCTGTACATCAGAGCGCTTCCTGGCTTCAGCTCAGAGTTTCCAGTGTTTCCCTTCAGGATCAGGAGGAGGTTTTTCAAAATACTAGAACCACAGGGTATAACATAGCAGAGGCTTACAGAGTGTATGCAGAAAACTTCTTAAAAGCGGGAGGTTTCTGTTAGAAAATGTCATGGGACGATGGTGGGAAGCATGAGTTGGGCAGTGAAATAGCAGCTTGCCTTTGTAACCTTAGACATGGTGAGGATTCAGTGGACAAGTTTGAATTTTTCGTAATAACCAAACGAGTGTAGTATTTCTGTGATAATTAACAACACATCGGTTTACAGAGTTAATACAGAGTAGCTCCATCAGGCCGTGTGTCACGAGGGCTTGTCCTTCTCTCAGGTCAGGGATGCTGGAGCCTGTTTTGTTTAACAGCCCCAGCGAAATAAGTGAAGTTACTTGGGATGACACCACCAACGCTTTTTTCCAAGCGTTATGGTGTTGGTTTTAAAAACGCGCATCTTCTGTAAATACATTTGTGAAGTTAAGCACGCAGATTCTTACAATGGCACCGTTTGTGTTACGTTCTCCACTTCTTGGTGCTCTTCTTCCTCTATTGTGCCCAGCAGCTAGTTATCGATGGCGCCGCTTTTCGTGGCCTTGATGATCTTGTGGATGATCATTCCTTAGGACCTTAATGCTGCTATACGTAAGCTCTGTGTCGTCGTTGCACATACCAAGGTTGGTGTGTTGTTCATTGAATGTATGTCCTTGGGGGTGTGTGTATTTGCCAGCACTGTGTTAACTCTGCAGTCCCGCTCTGACAATGCTGTTGTTTTTCAGATGTTTACTTTTGTAGGTAAAAGAACTAAATATATGGCTATTTGGTGAAAAAGTAGCTTTCAATAAACTACAGCTGCAAAAAGCGTTCTGTGACTGTTTTTAAATAAAAGCGTAGTAGAAGCTGAAAACTAAAGCTCGAGCGACTTAAGCTGACTGCAGGCGAAAGTAAGCAAGAGGGACCCTGAAACCAGAAAGTGTTATGGACGTGTTGTTGGAAATACACGTGTGTGTTGGAAACAGGTGGCTATTTGTCCATAGAAATAGTGTTTGGAGTTGCCTTTTCAGCTTCCGCAGAAGCTCAGCCCTGCAGTGAAGGGATGGGTACGGACAGTCAACGAGGGGAGGCATCTGCTCCCTTAGGAAATGACAGGATCAGGTAACACCTGGCGATGTAGGAAATAAGGGATTTTGTGTTATTCTCTTCTCTAAGGCACTTCTGCTTCATAATCTTGGGATCTGGTTGCTGTCAGGATCTCGGAGTCAGTTTTTCCTGGGGTGAGGTGGTTAAGCCTGCCTGGCTGAGCAGCATGTCCCGCTGGCTGTGGTCGACACGTGTGGCGTGTTTGTGGTGTGAGTAGCGCTGGACATGGCCTGGGACAGGAGGAAGGAGGGTTACGTGTCCCCTCTTGACGTCCCCTGATCAGCTTATAGCGTGCTTACCTTGTCTAGACTCCGCAGTAATGGGTTTAGAGTGAGTGTTTGTGTGGCCCGTGGCTAATAATCGAGCAGTGACAAGATCAGACCAGAAATGTCATAAATAGCTTCAGATCATAACGCTGATACTCGCTGGAGAAGACAGTGGGCTCCTTGTCACAGCGAGTGACAAACCTTTCACATTGTTTTATCTGTATTGCAAATACTCGGCAAAGTAGATTTTTGAAAACAGAAGGAAAAGAAATATCCCACCAATCAGGCACTAAACCACCCAAAATAGTGGGTTTATGGACGTTCTTAAAAAAGGACATTTTCACGGAGCTGTTTTTCGGCGTGCAGTGTATCACCCAGGGCATTATCTGTGGTGTGCCGAGGGGATGCTCCTATTTGTAGGAGATAACATTTCAATAAGCATCTAAAAATACTGCAAAGTACCCGGTCTGTTAGAAGCCAGAGGGTAGGTCTGATGTTTCCCTGATTCCCTGAGCTCCCCTGCTTGGACTGCTCTCTACCAAGAGCCACTGACGTACCCAATAGTAACTACAGCTCGCTTTCCTTTTTCCCCTCGTTGTTATGTAAACAATGTATTGCTTTGAGAAATAACAATAATTAGGAGAAAAGTGTGTGACAATTTACATACTAATGGAAAGCAACAGAATTATTAGAAGATGGAGATCTAAAATCCTGTCCACCTGGACAGTCACTTCCAAACCTGGAGTGGGTGGATGTCCTCAGGGAGCAGAAAATATCCTTTTCACCTGCTGGATTTTGCATATTGCACTTCCACTTTGTGGGGAGGAGGAAATACGGACGCAGCTGCCGTGTGCGTTCTTCTGGCAAATTAGACCCTTGGGCGGTCAGCACCGTACACATCCCCTGGGTCCGCTTCCAGCACGCTGCTGAGGAGACAGCGAGAAGAATCAACAGCGTCAGGATGGCTTCAAGGAGTTCATCCCTTTTCTCATTGAGCAAAAAACGATGGGGGGGCAGGAGGAAAGCCCATCACGGGCTGGGTGCAGTTGTCTTGGCAGGAGGCTTGCGAGGCTCAGGCTGTAATCCAGCATCCTGCATCCCTCTGGGTGTCTGTATCCGTGCCACAATGGTGATGATCATTGGGAGCGGATAACACATCCCTCTGGGTGTCTGTATCCGTGCCACGATGGTGATGATCATTGGGAGCAGATAACGTAGGGTGTGTTTGTTGTAACCGTCCTGTTTCTTCTGGGGAATCCTTCATCTCTGCACCTTCACCGAGATGCTCCTGGAGTGTGTGATGATGGTCTCGCGTCGCCCCGTAAATAAAACCGAAGTGCGTGGCACTGTCGGGGTGTCACATTTGTGGTCACCTGTTCACAAATAGCTGCTTCTTCCATGGTGTTAGAATTTTAGATCTTGATTTTCTGGATAATTCATTATAATAAATGAGAATGACAGCAGATTGCCAGCCCTCTTTATTTGCCATTTAGCAAGCGATAGGCGATGTGTGTTACAGGCTGTTGCTAAATGTTTGTGTGTTGGCTTGTTCAAGACTTCCTCTGAGCGTTAATAATATCAGTGCCATAATATAAGGATTTTTACAAAGTAGGTGGTTAAGAGGTGAGGGTGTGATTTCACAATGAACGGATTCACTAGTGAAACAGTCGATGAGGAGACGGTTCTGAGACATTCAGAAACTAATCCTGGTGTTCTGCTTTCTTACAGTCAACGAGTTCACAGTCATCAGGAAGAAATTCAAGTGCCCCTACTGCAGCTTCTCAGCCATGCATCAGTGCATCCTGAAGAGACACATGCGATCCCACACAGGAGAGAGACCCTATCCCTGCGAGATCTGCGGGAAGAAGTTCACCCGCCGGGAGCACATGAAGCGGCACACCTTGGTAAGGGGCTGCGTCGGGGGGACAGCGCGTTTTTCCCGGGAGAACGGGAGCTTCACCTGATTCAGGTCCATGTTTTGTTTTCCCCTCTGGGACTCCTCTGAAAACTTCTCCAGTATTTTTTTCCCCTCCTTTCAAAAGCTGACAGAGGGGCTGAGCCTCGGGAGAGCCTGGCGTTAGGGACGGGAGGAAGGATAGCTAATGCTCCCTTCAGGATGGAAGAGGAATTTTTTTTTTTAGTATGTTGAATGACTCAGTGCAGGAAACTTTAAAATAAGCCGCTCAGCAAGAGGGATTCGAGGTAAAGCTACTCTGGTCTGGCAATGCTTGGTTATCAAAATAGTGTTATGCCTTAAAGATGCTCAAAACTAACTTAGAGGCTGGCTGGTGCCACTGTCTGGCTTTTCACAATTCCTACAGCGTAAAAATCTAAGCCAATTCTTTTTTTTTTTTTTTTCCAAAGGAGAATTAGTTTGCCATCTTAAAGTGTTTTCTTAAAACTTGGTATAGAGGTGATATTGTGGAAGGGCAAATAGTTTCTACAGAATTATTTCAGCACGCCAGCAAGCACTCTAATTAAGTTTGTAGAGAAAACTTTAATATTTTTTTAAACTCCAGGGATGGTAGCTGTGAGGTTTGAATACTGAGAGATATTAAAAAATAAATGACAAGGGTATTGACAGATCAGTGACTTAAGAATTGATTTGCTGAGGTCACTTAAAGAACTTTTTCTGATTTTGTTTTCATTTCCAAAGAGTGATAAATGACTCGGTGGTGTCCTGGAATGGATGCACTAAAGGAAAAAGGACAGGGATTTGGAGGGGTTTTTGATACTGTTGTAAGGCCCCAGAAAAAAATCCAGTTCCATTATTTATCTGGAGGTGCTTGTGAAATAAAAGGGGTGTTTTCTTACATGCAAATGCCACCGTGCCACGTCCAAAAGCGGTAGCGCAGGCGGGCTGGAGCGCTTGTGGCGAGATGAACGGCTGGATTCGTACGCTCTGCGTGTCTCGTCAGCTTCTTTCCGGTGCATCTGGCGTTTTGGGGCTTAATTGTCAACTCTGGGGTAAATCTGTAAAGATGAATGCTGGTGCGCGTCAAATAAAAATACGTGGTTTAAAAATAACATGTAGGAAAAGGAAGTAGGTTTAACACACCAAAAATCTTGTTTCTCTCAGCTCCTCATCTGATAACCCAAGACAAAAGGGACTGTTTCAGTTTGTTTAACTCAATTAAAAAGAGTATTTTTCTAGTCTTTATGTAAAAGCTAAATGGAATAGAAACGCTTCTTTTCTTTGAACTGGAATATTAAAGTAAAAAAATATTTTCTTTCTGAAATCTTTGCATCTCAAGTGATGCTTCTGTGTGACGGCAGAGCACTAGCCGAGGTTTCTCACCCCGTTGCAGGGAACAATCTGTGTCCAGGAGGAAGCGCTGCCCCTCGAGGTTTTCGGCTTAAAAAAAACCAAACTTTACCAAAACTTTCTTGATTCTCGTTTGAAGTGACTCGTCTCTGTACAGCCTGAACTTTCTGACCTGGTCTGTTGCAGTATCACAAGTGGCTGAAAGCCGGCAGGGTGGATGGAGATGGGAAGCCAGTTCTCCACTTACAGCAGATGCCGGCAGCATTGAGGAGTTTCTCCTTATTTTTAAATTCTTTTCAGGATGGCGTTATCCACCTCTCTGCCTTGGAATATTGGTGCTTAGTCAGAGTATGGTCTTTCTGATGGCATTTTCAGATACCAAGGGCCAAACACTGTTTCTGTGTTTAATATTTAATAATAAGGGGCATAGGATTGATTTCTGCTGGGCTGCATCCAGTAACACGGTGCATTTGGAATATTCTCAGTTGTCACTGAAGGGAGGAGGATGATCAGTTCTTTAACAGGTAGTTCCGTTATGCATCATTTTAGTACCTGTTTTACACTTTTTTCTATGGCTCTTCCAGCCCTTGCTCTGCCCCCTCGCCACCTCCTGCCCTTGCATTCAGCTTTTCATTCCTGAAAACCTCTCTGCTGACAGTTCAAAACGAGCCCTGCGTACCCGTGGAGCCGTGGGATGGCTTTGACCAGCCCGGTCCAGCTGCTTTTAGAAAAGCTTAACGAGTAGTTTAAAAAGAAAAAATAAAATACAATGACTTT